TAAGACAAACATTAGCATATTACAAACCAGTGGCAAGCACTGCAGGGACATGTGGCTAGACACTCACCGATTGTACCTTGAGGGTTACTGGGATCGCCTCCAGCCCAGATTCCTACTTTGACTACCATGGGGGTCTGGGGGTACTGGTCCGTGTCAGCAGTATCTGGCGTAAGCACTCTGACCGTTGTGCCATCGATCTGCCAGACGATTTGCTTGCTCGTCCAGTCCACAGTATAGGTGTGAAAGTCGTCGTGGTTTCCAGCATCATTATGGGTAGCTCCACGATTGTAGCTACTTGTATTTCCTTTTCCGAAGTAGTTGGTTTGCACAAGCTGGTCGTTCCCTCCAAGCCATTCCCAGTCGATCTCATCCAAGTCATCGGACTGCAAAACGGCACTGCTGACAATGCCCGTTCCAGGGGCAGCCTTGATCACGTATTCCACGTGCCCAAACATGATGTACCAGTTGGACTGGATCAATGGCGCATCTCCCTGTTCAGCTACGGTGAACTCGGCACCATTGTCACCATAGGTCGGGCTACCGGTTGCAGTAAAGTCGGACGAACTGCCTTGAGTGAAGTCATAGCTCGCAGATTTCCCCAGTGCGGTATCCGCAGGACATGCTTTAGGAGTATTAGCTGCGCCTGCCCATCAAACATACGATTTTGGGCACTTACATTTCTTCAGTGGGTTACAATCGGTGTATGTCTGCGCTGCCACTAAGCTGGCGCTGGAAAGAAGAGCGACTGTCGAGCTAACAAGCGGAAGTCTCATGGTGGGAACGAAATATCCCGGTGATTCACTCAATTGGGGTCGTCAACTGCAATCAGAGTATAGGTTGAGAGGGCGGACAGAGTTCAATAACCAGTGATGTATTTGCGGTGTCTTTCTGTTTGGAGGAGAGGAGGGGTGAAATCGGGATGAGAGGGATATTAAACAGGAGGATGGACAGGTACTGAGGATCAATACTAGGTTAATGCAAGACCACTTTGGCCGGCAAAGTCACGGCGCAGGAAGGTGCCGGTGGTGGTAGTGAGGAGTCAAACTCGAGGCAGCCATCATTCACAAGCCAAGAGTAGGGACGCAATCATATTTAAGGCGCAGACGAAATTAGTTGCGGAGGAAGGTGCAATTCTCACCGTCCGTGTGGACAGCTCCGACTCCTCGTACTCCATCGAAAGGTCGGACTGATGGTTTTCTTGGTCCAGCCTCCTCGCTTTTGCTGTTGCTCCATCTCGGGCCCGTCATCGCCATTATGCCCGATCGGGCAGTCACCGGGTCGCTCATGGGGTCTCATCACCGCCCCATCCGCCCCGCTGATTGGCTCAGGACTGTCGACCGTGACTGTACCTTACGTAGAGGATGCGACCACAAGGAAATGAGTTTGAATGATCTCTCTGTGTGGAGTATGGAATAGGCAAAAGTATTATCCCTAAGGAATGGGATGGACCTATCAGCTTGATAGCGATTCTCCCAAATCTTTGTTTAGTAGCTTTCAATGTTGTCTGCTCTTGATACAAGATGTATCAATGAAGGATCTAACATTCTCAGCGGCAGGCGCCGCCCACTTTCCACCAAAGTAACTTTGCTTACTTGAATAGGCAATAAGCTGTCTACCCGTCAGTCCAAACCACAATACCAGGACAGGCCATCACTTGACACCTTTCGCATATTAAACAGCAGATAAGTACTCCGTACTTTGTAATACACTCTGACATTTTGTCCTCTCCATCATCTTCTATACAGCCATCGATCGCTCCAAGACAGCGGCGGTCGCGCGGGTTTAGGCCCTTTCCAACAATAGCATCAACCGCCACCTGAGTTGGGAGTCGATCACCGCCCGTCCGCTCCACCCCCAGCCTCCTCATTTTCCATCGGCACCTATCAGGCTATCGGGACCCTGGTGATCTAGAACCACAACCCAACAATATCTCGTTTTTTATAAGAAGTAGCTCCTAGCTAGTCTTTCTCGCATACATCATTCCGCTTTGCTGCAGGATTTTCTCGTGGGCCTCTCTGCCATGTCCGATTCATGCTTACGCTCCACCCACCACGGGAAACAGCTTCACGTAGAGCAAAATTCTGCTCTCTATTAATTATCTTACTGTGTCCAGGTGACATAGCCCCTGTCTACCCAAACCTTGTTCACAGATAATTGTAGAAACACCATGGTTAATTGATATGCCCCCGCTTAGCCGCTGATATCTGAGCGACGCTGTGGCTTGACAATGGCGAAGTATATGTGTTTTCTGGGGAACCATTGTAACAAATTGACTTTCAACCAGATACAGTATGATCAAATTTCATAGTCTCGGGTGTCAACTACGTTCTCGGACAGTATGACATTGCTCCAACCTAACAAGTAACTGTGCCAAACGACCACTCTCTTCTGGCGCACCTACAACAGTCCAGGACATCCAACCATGGGAACAACTTTATATATGCCCATGCCCATAGTAGGATGTGGAATCGTTCCAGATCAGGCAGAGCCATTCATAGACATCAGGTAATCCCTCTTTATCTGGATACAATTCTCGAGGGATGCTTCTTGCTTCATCAGTGACCTGCAGGTGCCATTCGGAATTATTAACCCGACTACGTAGCACTTCCGATCTCCTCATGGAGATGCATCTCTACTGCGCCCCATTATGCGGGTCAACTGTAGTGTCTGCCTGCATGCTAAAAGTAGTAGTGCTCCAGGTTGGTACCTTTTTCAATCGGTCCATAGTATAGATATCCGGCCAATAGTAGCATACTTTGTATATATATTCTCTAAATCTGAAGACTTGAACTCGTTGCCATTGCAAAAACCCAAATCCTGAGAATGATAATACTACCCCCGGGATACTGATATATATTTACAGTATATTACTCAGGCTTCGATGCCGTCAAAGTATTTCTAATAGTTGGATAGTAGCACCACTCTGAATACATAGGTAGAAGACTTCAAATAGTGTGGTACACTGCATGCACCCAACATCTATGGCACTATAGGTCAACGGATACTAGTCGAACGTTGTCCAAGAGCCAGAATACCATGAACCAATGATTCGAGCGAAGAATATGGCAGTGGAGCCATACATCATGGCACCCATTTCGACATTGCTTCTTCTTACGACAAAAGCAAATCTGTTGAACAGGTGTTGAGAAACTGCTTCCCACCTTTTAAATGGGTCACTGGCTAGTGCTGTATCTTTGACAATCATCCAGCTCGGTTAACCTTACTGATATGGGATGTGTCATTTGTTTGGTACACCCGCAAACCTGGAAGGGTAGGAGTCTTGCCGAAACTTACTTACACTAACTACTAACCCTGTACCGCATCCGTCCAGGTCGATCAAGCTATATTCAATTTTCCTCTTTTCCATCTCCTCCACCTTGCACCGCTCCTGAACATGCCTCTTCGTACAAGGTAAAAGGGTCATAGTAGAAGGGAAAGTCCCGAAACAAGCAAGTATGTTTCAGAGTGTTCTTGTTTGTACACATTATTAATTCTCTCGTAACCACAGTGAAACCGCCATGGCCATAGGAGCTCCCCCCCCCTCTTTCGCAGAAAAGTGCCCCAAACCATACCAGTTACGCAGAAAGCTCGTACGTAAGCGAGCGCTCCGAATCTCCTCAAGGGCAAGGACGGGGGCAAAAGAATAAAAAGTGACGGTGTGGGGTTGAGCCAGTGGGGGCCGTTCAAGGATCAAAGATTTGCTGCATATTCGGAACAATATCCCTAAAGAGCATGGACCACCAAGCCATTATTTGGGTCCATCAAAACTGCTAGCAAGGTGTCTTATATTTAGTAAGTACAAAGCACAATGCGGTTTTCCAACGACAGTGACTTGGAGAGATCAGACCGCAAATAATTAGCATGCTGCCTCCTGTACTCCATAAACTCCTTGCTAAAGGTGCAATGATCTGGCGATCAACGAAACGCCACAATCGTTCATGTGCAGGAGTCCTTGCTCAGGAGTGGGATGACATGAGATCTGATTGGTAGGACAGGCCCGGTAGTGTTGACCGTAGATACTCCGTTCGCTTATGAAAAAGAAAAAAGAAAAATATAGAGAGGAAAAAGGCGTGTCTGCATAGACAGCTGAAACTTACTAAGTATCATCAGCTGCTCAAATTCTCAGCCATTATTCAACCAATGCCGCTTTAACCGTCAGGATTTGCGATGACTAAAAATTTAACCGGACAAGGGCCGTAGAAGTTTTGCCGGGTATCCGGCTTCCAAAGAGGTGTTATGTGTGCTACAGTAGTAAGTAGCATCGCAAGCTAGTTGTGATTATCTGCCGTAGTGTATGTATCCTGTTTGAAGCACGGACATCCTCACGGACCATGCATGCCCCGGAAATGACCCTTGAAAGCTCCCTAAATGGTTCAACAAAGTGAATCTGAGCTGGCGGATTAAATCTTAATAATAAGATTTCTCATGCCGGAAATGTAAACTCAAGCCTTCTAAGGTATCGGGACTTTGCCCCAATTGGTACGACCCTTTTGGAGCGACAGAGAAGTAGGCCAGTCGGATCTTGACATCATGTCCACCGGTCAAACCAGTTGGGGACTTTTCATGGGAGGGAGCTTACAGTAGCTTCCGAGCAGCGGTCCACCAGAATCTGAACCACTCCCCCTCCCAAAAACCCACAGAGGGAGCTGCTACTGCTGCTGCTGTCTGCTGCTGCTCGGTCCGGTTTAGCGGGTTGCTCGTGGTCAGAGCCTCAACGCCTTTCCAACTCTGCGCAGGTTCACTCCTCCCGCCGACCGTCACCACCACCACTTTAACCACCACCTAAACTCCCACCCACGCGAACCTCACCTGTCCGGTTCATGCTGGTGGTTTTCTGACTTTCTCTCATTCCCCTTTCCTCCCCCCTCTTCTTCCCTCTTCTTTTATTAATTCCCTGAACTCTTCTGTTCCTCTCCCGTCCCGCCCCCTTTTCTCCCTTACCCCCCACCTGCGGTCATTCTTGAAGCCTGTCGCAGGCCTGGCTGTCCTCGTCCCAGAATGTGCGATGGCGTTTCCTGACCGCTGCCGCTCACCCTCCAGAACATGAAGCACGTCTTGACACCGTCGCGCCCGACGCTAAACCCCGTGCCACGATCGTATACTGTTCGTACTGTGATAACTGCCTGTGGCAAGCCTTCCCTTTCAGGTGGTACATCTTCGCTGAGACCTTCGGGTTACTTTTAGAGTTTATATAATCTTTGCCTATACCGACGACGCATTATCTATATCCCCACGCCATTCGAGATCAGCCCCCCGATCGGATTTACCAGCAGTTCCTCCCACGACACCTTCACGAGATCATAATTAACTCCCTCACTTTTTTGTCACCATAAATTCGATTTCGATCTCATTAATGCTTTCCCTCCTTCCCCCTATTTCCCTCTTCGGCAACCGCTTCAGGTGACAGTCCGTCCGTTTTCTCTTTCGCCACGTCCCCTCCCCAAGCCACGTCCCCTCCCCAAGCAACGGTTCATAAGTCAGAAGCATGTCGCATCGAAACAGTGATCAATCCGGAGGGCGGCGCAGCTCCGAGAGCTCAGGGGCGCACAGCTGGTTGTCGCAAGAGACTGTTAGAGAAGGTCGAACCCACCAACCCCAGCATAATCATGAACCTTCGAACGCGCGCAGTGTTTCTCCATTATCGGGATTCAGAGATACGGACAGGTAGGCAATATTATCCTCCCCGCTCTTCCTTCCCTCATATTACTTCTGGTCGGAGGCTACAGATTTAGCCGTCGTGTGGCTGTCGTTACTTTTGGCGAAGGAGAACGGATGGTGGCTGCCGTTGCCACGTGCAATGCTGGCTTGTCTTCGGCATCTCTCATAGATATGTCCTACCATGTCCGTCGTTATGTGTCTGGAATCCTACTTCACTCACCGTATTGGTGAATGCTGCCATTCTGTTCCTGGGTTGTGCTGCCCCAGTCACTGCACGCATAGCGCTATCTGATGGGATGATTGAAAGCTACAGAAAGCGATGGGCTCATGATGACTTTCAATTCTGGTTACACTTTACTGACATACTACCAGACCAGATGCACAGACTTGCACATCACCAACAATAAAAGATCCGAATGACCTATATTCTTCCATCTTTTCTTGGGGCTCAGATTTCGCCCCAAAAGACCAACGTAAACCTCCTCAATTTGGCAGTCACAGAAAGGCCATGACTTTACTGGGAACTGAGGATCCCGGCACTTCACCAACTGCAAACTGGAATAATCGGCCGCCACAACTAAATCTTAATCCACCGGACAGTTCCCAACACGACGCAGAACCCTCGCTTGCTTCTTCTCCCACGGTAGCACCTAATGATGGTCCGTCAACCTTCTTCAACGACTATTCGGAGCAGGAGGCGTCTCCCGCATCCAACTTATTCCGTCCAGGAACGGCCCAGACATATGCGAGCGAACCTCTAGAGTTAGACTACAACGGTGATCACCGAAGGCCGTCAGTCGCCAGCGCCATGACTGTCAGTAGCCAAGGTTCCAAGTCTAGTGCCGGTGCGCTTTTCAAAAAGAAGTTGCAAGGATTTTTCGGCGACGAGTATGTTGGAAATGGGGATCCGAGACATGACTCGGACAATTTCACTCAGAATTCGGCTACGAAACCTTCCTCCCTCGATCAATTCCGAGCACGCGAGAGAGCCAATTCCGATGGCTCCCGACATCCAGGAACTTCCCCGGCTCCAAATCAAGCGAGACCTCATACCCCTCTCCCTTCGAGCGAAATCACTCCGTGGTTATACCAAAGTTTCAACGTAAGTTTCGGCGCCTAGTTTACTTTTTTTGTTTGTTTTCGATTTTATCGAGCAGCCCGTCATCTTCTACTTGCTGTATATCACGTGACTGTTATCCTGTGGGCAGCAGGAAGCTAATATTAAACCTTTCTCAGGATATACCTCAGTATGGCGAAGCTCCTGTCCGAGAAGCACCCACAACAACGGCTGATGGCCAACGCGGGTCGGTGTCCCAGAGAGACCAATCCCGCCGGCATTTCAGCGGCCACCGCCACTCACGAAGCAAGGAAGAGAAACCGACAGCCGCTGGTGATTTAGCAGGCTATTCTAATCGCCCAGCAACGGGACGAGACGATCTATCTCTCGGTCTCCGGCCGTCTAGAGAAGGCAGCTTGAACTACCCAACTCCGATGACTTCGACTACGACACTTGTTGGCCGTTCAACCAGCCCTACTCCAAGCGTCCAAAGCGCCTACTCCAGAGAACAGGGCCAAAATTCGCCTGGGGCACAGACGAGTAAGCGGTCTTTCCTCGACAAGATACGCCGTCCGAAACACGGTCATTTGAAGAACATCACCGGGTCGAAGGCAGTACAAGAGACCACTAAAGCTGCTGCTTCAAAGTTGTCTCGACGTGAAGCTTCGCCTGCCAGGCGTGGACGGCAGGGCAGTATCGAAAGCGGAACATCCTCTCGCTTGGCCGATTCGGGAGATAACGAGCGCAAAAGGGACGGCAAAGGCTTAGCCATCAGCTCTGCGAAATTGAGAGGTCGTCGAGGCCATGCCAATGAGGTTCCTCCCGGAAAGGAAATCAGACAACCCGACAGATCCAATGTGTGGGAGCTCGATACAGACCTCACTCACATGGAAGGTATTGTAAACCCACCATCACCGAGCGCAAAGAGCAAGATGCTTGATGGTGCTTCCATTCGATCCGAGGAAACAAGACGGCGTGATGCGGTGCCCGCGGGAAATTGGGACGCTCCGGAAAGTTGGCATGTGAAGAAGCAGAACGAGCCGTCTACCTTACTCCCCCAGGACACCTCTGAACCCGGCCCTACGATTACCGAGCCGGATGGGCCGAATTGGTACATACGGATCTTCCGTCCAGATGCTACATTCGCTACGCTCTCGGGTGGGTTATACGCCACTGTCGCAGACCTAGTTCATGGACTCAGTCGAAAGTCTTTCCTCACTGAACATATCAGTAATTACGAACTAGTCATGCAGAAGAATGACCTTTCAAGACAGCTTGACCAGACGGAGATGCCCATACTCATGCAGAAACGAATGCTCGAACAAGTGGGCTATACTGAGAAAGACCGTATCGAAGAGGTCGGCCGGGAAGATCACAGTTACATTCTGCGTTTTACATTTCTACCGGCCAGGATCACTGGCTACATCATCGATGGCAATGATCCCCTTGGCAAAGCTCAGCAAAAGTTCAGCCATGTAGACCTGTCGAATAGAAGCCTTGTTACGATCCCCATTGGTCTTTACAAGAAAGCGCCCGAGATTATTTCGCTAAATCTATCGAAGAATCTGGCTTTGGACGTACCGAAGGACTTTATCCAGGGATGCATCAACCTGCGAGAAATCAAGTTCATTGGGAACGAGGCTCTTAGACTTCCTGCAAGTTTTGGACTTGCGAGTCGGCTGACATATCTGGACGTGTCCAATAACTTCTTGGAGGACCTGACTCATGCCAACCTTGACAGGTTGCACGGACTTGTCAGCATAAAGATGGCCAACAATAGGCTCACCAATTTGCCCAGTTACTTCGGCAACTTCCAGTACTTGAGGAGCCTCAACATATCGTCAAACAACTTCAAGGTGTTCCCTGACCTCCTCTGCGGCCTGAAGAGTCTAGTTGATCTAGACATCAGCTTCAACAATATCTCGGAATTGCCACAAATCGGCAAGCTCGCGACACTCGAGCGGATCTGGATGACGAACAACATAGTCAGAGGTGCTTTAGACGATACCTTCAGAGATCTCGTTAACCTGAAAGAAATTGACGCAAGATTCAATGAAATCACGAACATTGACACACTCTGTGTTCTCCCTCGCCTGGAGCAGGTAGCCATTGGACACAATGCTATATCGAAGTTTAAGGGATCGTTCCCAAAACTCAGAACTTTGGCACTTGACCATTGTCCTATGACTCAATTCGAAATTGACGCACCTATACCCACATTGACGTCTCTCAATATTGCCTCTGCGAAGCTTGTTCAATTGCGTGACACTTTCTTCGAAAATTTACCCAATCTGACAAAGGTTATTCTAGACAAGAATCACTTTGTGTCAATGTCACCTCACATTGGCAAATTGCGCAAGCTTGAGCACTTCAGCATGATCAAGAATCCCCTCGCTGCTCTTCCCGCCACGATTGGCTGCTTGACGGAACTCAAGTATCTGAACTTGAGGGAATGCAATCTGAGGAAGTTACCGCCGGAAATTTGGCACTGCCTGAGGCTCGAAACTCTAAACGTCTCTTCGAACGTCCTTGAAGGTTTTCCGAAGCATGGAAGCCCGCAGCCTCAGGTCCCCAGCGAACCGATCGGCACACCGGCCGCGACGCCTGGCGTATCAACAACACCTAGCTATGAAGAGCTAGGTGCTTTGGAAGAGCAAGAGGCTCGACGACCAAGCCAAACATCGGGCGGCGTGCTTAGCACTGGAAGCTCTCCAAACGGTGGTGCTTACCGGAAGCCCTCTGTCGCATCCTCCCTCGGCCAAGGCAGGAAAGTTTCTGCTGCATCTCGATCGCTGACTGACGGCAGTCCATCTTCACGCAAGGACTCTAATTTCTCTCAGCATGTGGCTACGACATTTGGCGGGTCACTTCGGAACCTGTACCTGGCTGACAATCGTTTGGAAGACGACATATTTCGTGAACTTTCACTCATCCCGGAGCTGCGCATTGTTAACCTGTCTTACAATGAATTAACCGAGCTCCCCCAGGGACTATTGAGACGTTGGCCGCTGCTGACCGAATTGTACATCTCTGGCAACGAACTGACATCTCTTCCTTCTGATGACCTTGAAGAAGGAAGCAGCCTGAGGGTTCTCCACATCAACGCGAATCGCTTCCAAGTGCTTCCCGCCGAGCTCTGTAAAGTCAGCAAACTCTCAATTCTGGATGTTGGCAGCAACTCTCTCAAGTATAATGTCTCGAACTGGCCCTATGACTGGAACTGGAATTGGAATCGAAACCTCAAATACCTCAACTTTTCGGGCAATAAACGGCTTGAGATCAAACCTCCTGGCTCTTCCCTGTCGAACCAACAGCAACAGCCAAAGCATCAGACAAACCTCACCGATTTCACTTCTCTCACCCATTTGCGCGTTCTAGGATTGATGGATGTCACTCTTACAATTACAACGATCCCTGAGGAAAACGAAGATCGTCGGGTCAGGACGTCTGCTTCACTTGCGGGCTCACTCGCATACGGTATGGCTGACTTTCTCGGCAAAAGCGAGCACCTTTCCATCTTTGATATGATTGTGCCTCGTTTGAAGCCGGACAAGGTTGAAACGGTCGTGGGTATGTTTGACGGGCAGTCTCAATCCAGTGGAGGTTCCAGAATTGCCAAATTCCTTCACGAGAATTTCATCCATACTTTCTCTTCTGAGTTGAAAAGAATGCGCCCTGAGCAACACGAGACACCGCTTGATGCGCTTCGGAGGGCGTTCTTGACTCTGAATAAGAATATGGCCTTCGCTTGCTACAAGTCTCTGGATCAGGATGTCCGGCAGTATCAGGAAGATCCAACCGATCAGAGAAAAGTTCGGCTTACGAAAGACGACATCGATCTCGGCGGCGTTGCGACCGTCATGTACCTCAATAACATGGACCTCTATGTTGCAAATGTTGGTGATGCCCAGGCGATCCTTGTCAAGGCAGACGGCTCCCTAAGGCACCTGACTCAAAATCATGATCCTGCCGAAACACATGAAAGGGCAAGAATCCGCGACGCCGGAGGGTTTGTCTCCCGGACCGGCAAATTGAACGATGTCCTCACCGTGTCAAGAGCTTTTGGACACTTCCCAATGATGCCTGCTGTCATCGCAGCTCCACACACCATGCACGTAAATTTGACAGAGCAGGATGAGATGGTCATCCTGGCATCTAGAGAGTTGTGGGACTACGTGACGCCGGATCTGGTAGTCGATGTGACCAGGGCTGAACGAAGAGATCTCATGATCGCAGCCCAGAAGATCAGAGACCTGGCCATATCTTTTGGTGCGACCAACAAGTTAATGGTGATGATTCTAGGTGTGGGCGATCTCAAGCGACGGGAGAAGATCAGGACCCGGCC